TGCTAGTCCTTAACGTGACCTGCCTCTCTCCCCCGCCTCTGCACATCCAGTCCTTTACCTGAGGACAGCAGGTGAAGAGGGAGGACCTGCAGCTTCTGGCCTGCCACGCTGGAAGGAGCCCAGCACCCTGGGCAGGTGAGGCACCCTTCCTGACTCAGGGCGTCCCCATGTGTGTGACTGCACTGGGCCTCCAGGTTTGGTTTTAGTGGGTGTCCTAGTTGCCATCCTTGTCTCTTTCAGTCACCAAAGTTTGTTTTGGCTCATACAGTCTGTGCTTGGAGCTTCAAGGCAGGACGACATGGCAGAGGGGAGCGAGTGGGGAGAGCCGCTCACAGCACGGTGGCCAGGAGCAGAGGTCAGAGGAGGAGCCAGGAAGGAAGAGCCGCACTTCCGGGCCTCGCCGCCTGTGACTGCCTCTCCAGCCAGGCTGCACTTCCTCACAGGAAGTCAGCCGTAGGTCCGCATAGCCTAGCTGCCTTCCCACAGCCCGCCTCTGAGCTTCGAGGCCATGGGGGACTTCCAGGTACGATGCAACATTGGGGAAGGTGGCCTTGTCTCCATGCACCCCACGTATACGTTATAGAGCAGTCTGCTATTGCGAATGCCTCAGACCATGTAGGAACATAGAAAGTGTGGGGAGCACTGCGCCCCGGAGGCTGCCTCCGAGGGCCAGGAGCCAGCGAGCTGTGAGCTCCGTTAAGGACACACACAGGCCGCAGCTGGCGCGCTCCAGGGAAGCCCAGGGCCTGTGGGCGAGGATCCACGTTGAGCCTGCAGCGGACACCGATAAGAGTGAGGCGTGCACCTCCTACCTGTTCATTTTATCTTTCTAACAGTAGGTCCTTATAGGTAAGATGTAAGAACCTTAAAATTACGTGTTGTTGACAAGTGGCAGTTGCGTGGGTTTGTGGGGCACGGCGCGATGCTTTGGAACATGCTTATAATACAGCACGCTTAAAGCAGGCTAATTAACGAATCTGTCACTGCGCACGCTTCTCGTTGCTCTTGAGTGGTGCAGACATTCAGAATCTGCCTTGCCAGCCATTTCAAGCTATGCAGCGTGCTCCGATGTGCGCTGCTGACCTCTGCGTGTGCCTCCGGAGCTGTCCCCCTGGCGGGCCACCGGGTTCATCGCGTCCCCCTTTCCTCCTGTCTTCTCCAGCCTGGCAGCCACCACTGTGCTTTGTGCACACAAGCGAGGTCCTGTGGCTTTCGGCTTTCTGCGCGGCTTATTTCACCCTGTGCAATGGCCCCAGGCTCCTCTGTGGGGCGAGCGCCCCTTTCAGGCGGCGGAGTAGCCCAGCATTGATCTGGAGTACACTAAGGAGTGTACACACACTTCAGAACAGGCAAAGCTTGGGTAAAAGTCTTAATATCAAACTTAGCACGAGTCATGAGATAATGCACACCACCTGGGGCCTCAGTGACACGAGGTGTTCATGGGGCCATCTTCAGCTCGCAGGTGTTTGTCAGCACATGACTGCCATCTGGGTAGGCCTGGTCCCTGCGCTGAGATGGCTGCATGTGCATGTCCAGGGTCTTCTCTGCGGCTGGCAGTGTAGCGGGTTTTCTGTGATGCGTGACATCCTTGAGGGTAACACCCTTTGTTGAGAAGCACCCTCGCTTTCTTTTCCTGAAGTGTGTGCACACTTTTGGGGTCACCAACAAGCCAACACGCACTGCAGTGGCTCATGGTACTGATGACTATACGTCACACTTTCGTGGCCCGTGCATTTGTGGGTAGTTCTGTGTCCTCCCTGGGGCCAGTGCTGCAGTGGACATGGGCAGGGGCGTGAGAGAAAGGCTGTGTGGAATCTGCCTACCACAGGCCTTGCTCTTTCTCCTCTGACTGCTTCAGGGTAGTGGTGGTCGTGGGTACAGTGTTCTTTTTTTTTTTTTTTTCAGGGCTTCAGATAGAAAGATTTGTTTGACAGCTTAAGGTGGATTTGTTTTTCTTGGAGCAATTTACTTGTAATTTTGAAAATGCAGTGTCACTGTTGTGAAGGAACTGATCACCACAGACGGTGTGGAGCAGGTGCAGTGGGCCAGTGCCACCATGGTTCTTTTGTGGTGCTCAGCATGCGCTGTCAGGGGCTCTACGTGGCCCCCCAGGCTGCATTCAGGGTCCACGGTGAGGCAGGCGGGAGGGAAGCCATCCGAGGGCAGCTCTACGGCCCCAGAGAGAGGGTGGTACGGGGCCTGCCCGTGTGATAGAAAACACAGCGACTGCTGCTGCGCGCCACCCAGCAGGACAGCAGCTCGGAGACCTGGTGCCGAGCCCTCCCCACCTTGCTGTGCAGACTTGGCGCCATGTGGCGGCTGGCTCTTCCCCAAACTCACAACGACCCCAGAAGAGAATCATTTTGAATGAATTCAGGATGCAGAGCAGCCAGGACAGCACAACTGAAGACCCTCAGGAAAGGACTCCGGAGCTGCTGCAGGAAGCGGCCGGGGCGATGGATGGGGGACTCTAAGCCAGGCGGGGGGGGGGGGGGCTCAGAGGGGACTCAAGCAGTGTGTCTTCCACTGTAACGAAACTTTAAACATGCAGCATCCTCGTGCATCTGATGGCCCTTGTGTCCCCAGTGATGGGTCTGCTTCCTGGTGGGGCAGCTGGTTCTTCAGTGGGGCTCATGTGGAGAGAAACTTAGGGTCACCTTTTGGGTGACTGATGCAGGTGGATTTGCGAGAGGAAACTCAGGAGGAGACACTGCCAGGCAGGGAGGTGGGAAGGGCGCGCGCATCGAGCGGGTGGCGCGGCGTCTCCCCTTCCGGGTGCTGACCCGGGCTCTTGTGTACAGCTGGGTCTGGGCGGAAGCTCGCTCACTAGGCTCGCAGAAGCAGCGCTATCAGTGCTGCTGGTGGCTTCCCCAAGCCCTTGGGTGAACACAGGGCCTAGGTGATGATGTCCCCGTCCCCAGGGCCTGGACACTGGGTTCCACTCGGCCGTGGCCTGGATCGGGCTGTGCAGACAGAAACAGCGTCCTTGAAGACTGTCTCCGGTAGAGGCTAGTACAGGCACTGACCTGAAGTGGTTTGGTTTTGTTTTTGCACAGTGCTGGGGCTTGACCTCCGCGCCCGTACTCTGAGCTGCATCCTTTATATTTTTATCTTGCAACGGGGTCTTCTAAGCGGCCCAGTTTCCCAGGCTGTGCTCCCCTGACTCAAGCCAGAGAACTCCAGCTCCCTGGACAGAGTGGGCGTGGAGCCGCCACTGTGGGCAGGGCCAGCAGAGGGCTGTTCTGTCCCTAGCTCCCTCAGAGCCACCGTGGTCGGGCACTGTGTCTCCTGGTCACTCGGGCTGCGAGCTCCTCTAAGGCAGTCTTGGTCAGGTCGCTCATCCCAGCAGCCTCAGGGTCCCTGTGTGCAGGCCTCCGTGAGCAGCTGGGCCACTTGTCCCCCCGCCCCACCCCATGGCCTGGCTGCCCAGCCCCACCCCAGGCCATGTCCCTGGGTGCGGTCAGGCTCAGAAACTCAGCTTTGGGAGTGATGGACCGTGTAGTTTCTTGTGCCTTTGATGTTCGGCAGCACCCTGTCCCTTGTTCCCGCCCTTGTTCCTGCCCTTTCAGCCAGCGTGAAGACAAGCCACCTGGCTGGCTCACAGGTGGCCAATTTGGGGCCAGAAGAAACCACTGCCCTTGGTCTGGCCTTGGTGGCTGTTACCTCGAAACATAAGATTTTATCCTCCTGGGAGGCAGTGCCCAGGCATCCGCCATCACATTCTTCCTGAAGGCCAGGACCTACTAGGGAAGCACATGGCCCTCTCTTGCTCCTTACCCGCCTGTTTCCCGAGGGTGGGGCCTCAGCTCACATTTCGCTGCACAGCATCTCCTGCCCTGCCCTCTGGATGGGCCTTCAGGGGTTTTCCGTTAAGCCCACAGCGAGGAGAAGCAGGGTCCACAATCAGCCACCTGCTGTCTGGTGCAGCCATGGCTCGGTCCCCACAGAGCCACAGGCCTGGCTTTCTCCATATCAGCCTCCACTGAGGCTAAGCACGTGCACGCACACATACCCACACCCACACACACCCACACCCCACTGCTCTGCTTTCACCCCTTCCCTGACCCTGGAAAACCACAGATCTCTGCTCTGTCACTGTTTCAATATTGGTAGGCTTGTGGAGGGTTTGTTCCTGTTCATGGCTGAGTACTATTCCATTGTATAGATGAACTGGAGCTGCTTGCCTTCACACCCGTTAAAAAGCATTTGATTCACTTTCAGTTTGTGGCAATGATAAATAAAGCTTGTATGAGAGAAATTACTCACCCAATAAATCTCTGTCTGTTCCCTGCGTAGGCAGAATCCCCTTTGCTGTCAGTGGTATAGAGCACAGCCGCCAGAAAGAACCTGTGATCTGTCTCGGTCCTGGGAGGCAGTGGGATATGGTCCTGGGTTGTCTGTCTAACGACCTCGAAGTGCGAGCGTGGGCCGGCTCGCAAGGCTGCCTGCCTCTTGGGGAGTGGACGCCTGATCCACGCTCTAGGGTGCAGCTGCTTTCCAGGCTTGAACGGGACAGCGTCCTGCTTGCTTTGTTTCACTGCCAGACCCAAGCAACGGCCTTCCCGTCCTTTTCTGAAAGTCCCCAGCAAGCAGGGTGGTGGCCACTTCTTCTGGGGTGTGAGCACGTGGCTGTGATGGGCGCCCACCCAGGGACAAGGGGTCACTGTTGTTACCCCATGATGGGCAGAGGCACACTGCTGCAGCGGGGGGAGACACGTGGGGGGAGAGAGGCGGGGGATGGGGAGG